GCCCTTCAAGCTCTGGAGGGCAATGAACGCTGCAGAACTGACATAGCCAAGATAATCCTGGATGCCGATCAGCTTATTACCTCATACAACATCAGAATAGTGATGCAGTGGATTCCAGGTCACTCCGGCACACCAGGTAATGACAGAGCTGACAGATTGGCAAAGAAAGGAGCAACACAAGAACAACCACCTACAGCGACAACCCTCCAGACAGCAAAAACACTGATAAGAGCTATAAACAAAGAGACTTGGTTGAACAGATGGGCCATGGGAGACACTGGAAGAGAGGTTTATAGACATATGTCTGGCCCTGATCCTAATGACAGCATTAACCATCTAACAAGAAGGGACCAGGCCACCATCTTCAGACTTAGAACGCAACATACTCCACTCAATGGACACCTAAACAGAATACAGCCACAACACTCCCCAGAGTGCCAGCTATGTAACTACCCCTACGAAACTGTTGAACACCATCTCTTTGAGTGCCCAAAACTCAGTGAGACAAGAAGAACGCTACTCCCTCCGAGACCAGACAAGTGGAACACCTTGTACGGAGGAAAAGAACAGCTTGTGAAAACATGCAAATTCCACTACATGGCATTGGGCCAAAGGGCGAAAGCTCATGCGCCGCTGGATCGATAACAACAACAACAATATGGTAAACATCATGGCTCGATCTTTAGTAAGTTAATTTCACTGTGAATATTTGTTTTCTCTACATGATGCCATCAGTGAATTCTTCCTGTCATTAACCGAAGGTAGATGGTGTGTACCAGAGGTCTGGACTCGAGTCATGCAAATGAGGTTCAAGTCTGACGTAAGTCATGTAATTAGTGACTTGGGACTAGACTTAAGGTTTTGTCCAGCAGCTTTGACTTGACTTCAGGCTTGTTGCTTTGACAACTTAGTTTGACTAATTTTTTGCAGCCCACCACTGGGAGGCTGGTATCAACGTCACATTTCAAGATATCTTCAGATAGAAGAGGACAGAATAAATTCTGTTTCTGTTTATCAAGCTTTCACATTTGCCTTCTTCCCCTTATATAAACAGTTCAGTGAATTTTTTGCACTGCCATTCCCGATTTAGTGATTTCACTATCTTTGACTGATCCATAAGGACTGTCCCATGCATAGTTTACAAATGTCTTGAAACATGTAGTGACCTCACTTGGGACTGGGAAGAATTTTTGATGACTCAAGGCTTGACTGATTTGGGAGGTAGTGGCAATAACTTGAGACTCGACTTGAACTTAAAAGGTTATGACTAAGTCCAAACTCTGGTATATACCATAGCATAATGTTGTGTGCAAAAGCTGTGACCATGCATTTCAATCTTTCCTATAAATGATATTTTATAATGAAATGTCTTCATGTGTATGTGTCCTGTCCTGTAAATAAAAATATTAAATGGAGAGGAACCATACAAATAAACAGTAATTTAAAAAAAGATTTTTTTTTTTCTCCAATGTCTAAATCTTGCAAGAGACAAGAAAACTTGGCTGACAACACATTTTCCAGGGTGAGATAAGAGAGAGAACAAGTCGCAGCAGAAATAACAATGGATATTACTGATAGTAAAAATGAAATCAGCCAAATAAATAAAAATCTGTTGTCACCAGCCTGTGCACATAATGAAAGCATAGGAAATAATGGATCCACTGTGATGGATTCATTGTCTGTAATTATTACTAAGAAATACAACTATTATAAAAGCAAAGCCTATAATTTAATTTATTTATGTTGTAAGAACACAAAAGTGTTCCACAAAACATGTTGATGAGAATACAATACTTTCAGAATAAAAGCAAATTATCAAGTATAAAAACAAGACCAACGTTTAAAAAAGATATGAGAGAGAATAAAAAGACAAGAAAAATGTTATGTGTTTACCAGAACACAAATCACATACAATTAAGCTGTGTAAATATAAATATGTAAATAACATTAATCACAAATTTAACAAGACATAAAAATATGTAAATGTACTTTAAAAATGAATGTCAATGAATAATAAACCTAGGGATTGTCATAATATTAGGAGATTAAAAAAAAGATACCCAACACAAATATTACTTAAAGATGGCCTAATGAACTATTAAGTGAACCAAATGAAGGAGAGATTTATGTGGCTGTCGCAAATAAGAACTTTTATATACTTGAAGAACTTGTCATTTTATGAACCACAAAAATGATTCTGCAAAATAAAAACTGGCAGTCTTTGTTCCTCTCCAGGATTGCTGTCTATAGGATTAACACCTCAAGGATGAGAATCACACCCCAAAATCCCATTACACTGTACAAAACAGTTATGTTAGGGCACCAATATGAAGTAATCTGCTGTCAAAATGTGGAGGGGGCATCAAGAAAATAATTACCACCCCAACAATGTAGGTGTCACATCTGTTACGTTACTCCTTGAGTAGAAAAAATTTCCAGTGTTATTATCAAGAAATGTAGACAAGAAAGACAAAAGGATATGACAGCCTAGAATCTACTCGTTTCTTGGCATGACTGAAGACTGACAGAAACATTAAAGTGCAGGTCTTCATCTCCCACTTATCTCCCAAAGCAACTTTCTGATGCATTAGCTATAAGTTTCAGACAAAAGTAAACCAATCTGCTAGTTTACATTTCATAAATTACTTAAGGCACCAATAAACACTGACATTTATAAGTTGTTCAAAATTGTTTAAATCAGTACAGGTTACTTTAAATTTTAAATTTTACCAACTGCTTAGCTTGTATGCAATCAAATTACATGTTAATCATCTCTAGACGGCAACACTGCTAACAGAATTTAGCAACAATCATGTATCACACACATTAATCTTGAAGAAATTATGTTTTTTTTCTTCTTTTATTTCTAACCTACAGGCAACTGATCAGCCCTTGAGACAGGATTTGTTCCAAGTTTAAAACAACTCAATGATATAAGTACATGCTATGCAGGCATGCTTGTCTCATGCAGAATTTCCTTCTTTCCGAATAAATTTAATGAAATATGTATATTTTTATTTTTAGTCCATGCGGCATCGTGCTGGTAACCATGTCTGTTAGCCGCATTAGTGCAGTTGATAGGAGACTTGCTTTTAAATCCAGCTGCGACACGCTGTAGTCCACGACCATTGTTTGAAAACAGCCGGTTCCTAGGGTTCACCCAGCCTCTAGGAAATGGTTACTAATGTTAACACTCTAGGGTAAATGGAGCAACATTGCTGTAGCTATGGAGTTTCGTGCGGACGGCGACACAGGCAGACAGTTTCTTATCAAGTGTCCGTACTGGTGGCAGAGCACTAATGGTTTATAACCATGTGCAATGACGCTGGTTCCCATCACCTGACTTTACCTTTAATCATGACTGTCTATTGCATTCTGTCTCGTGGACTGTTAATCATTTCTGATTTAGATAGTATCCTATGCCATGATACCAAACTGTTCTAACATGTTCTCCATTGGTCTTCCTCTGCCTCTTCTTCTGTTTACTGATGACACAGGGTTTCATGTCTTAATATACAAATATGCCAAGTATTATAAGGAGACTGTCCATACAATGTTGTTCATAGGTAACACTGTATTTTAGCTGTCTGTTTTATCAAGGCAAAAACTTCTGGTCAAAAGAAACAACGGTTGAAGCCAAACTTTACGGGTCGCTGAGTAAATTACAAAAGACGGTGAATGTCGTACTAGAGACAACATTGCAGATATAGATAATCTATTTCAAGCGAATGAAAGAAGAAGGAGAATTGCCTGGTTTCTGTTCTAATCTGAGGTGTGGGAGTCATCTCAGTCTTGCTAAACTAAGACGGTTAAAACAATGTTTTTATTTGCCAAACCAAGACCAGTAAGACACTAGGACATTTTCTACAAGATCTGAACTTCCGACTGTAATGGCATTAGAGTTAGGGACCCTCTTCTACACCTCTAGGCATATTGAACATATAGTGCTAGACCAATCAGCACTTGTTGGACTTTACCAGGTACCCATTTAAGGCTGGGTCGACCTGAATGGCAGTTATAGGCTGAGCTAATATTTTTCATGAAGACTCTCATTCAATCTACTCTCTCTAATATACAGTAAATAATCTCAACACGGTCCTTTCTTAGCTAGTCAGTTTTGGAAACATGTCACTTTGGGAACAGTGAATGCTAAAAGTGTGCCAATGAAAATGTGCTTGCCTGGTATGGTTATGCAGTCATATGAAAACCAACCAATAAGTCCAGGAAGTAAGTAACATTAAAGCAATGACATCATCATCATCATCATCATCATGTGCCCTGCCAACTGGCATAGGCACTCATGCGTCTCAACAGATCACGATCAGCGGTTTCCTGGAACAGCTTTCTTGATGATATCCCTCCATGCCATCGTTTCAGCCCATCCAGCATCATCTCTCTTGGTCTGCCTCTACCCCTTTTTCCACTGATCTTTCCAGTTGTCACAATGTTCTCCAATGTCTCTCTTATCATTATGTGGCCAAAGAACAGTGTTTGTCTCTGTCTTATTGTTTTATATAGAGATCTACTTTCATTAGCTTCTTTCAAGATATCGTTGTTAGTTACTCTGGCCGTATTTGTATCATTCATCTCAGAAACCACATCTCTGTTGCTTCCAAATTCTTCCTAATTCAACAATGACAATGAACATTATATTTCCTATAGATTTTACTCACAGACAACTGACAAAAATATTCATTCCTTATGGTGTCACCTCTGAGAATAAATTACTTGATTATTTATTATTACTCTGTCATATTATTTTACCAAAGCCCACCCAATGATATTTTCAAAAAGCTAATGCAAAGAAAGAAGGATCAGCAAAAAGTTTATTAGAGTGAAAATATTAAACATGACCTAACTAAAAAATGCATTCATTACAATATCTAGAAACATGCCTTCAATACAGGCAGGACATTAGCATGAAATAAAACTATAATTTGTAATAATATGACAGAAAATCATTTTTTTAGTATCATAAACTTATAAATGTTCTAAAATATTCAGAGAAAATATTCAAGCAGAGTTGAATAGCTTGTCTTGTCACCACCAAAGTTTGCATTCAAAGTCAGCTTTACATCCTTGCCATATAAGTCAGCAACATCCACAACTTTAGCCCATTCATCACCCTGTGAAGAAATAAAGCCGATTTCTAATTTAACAGCCTCTTTGCATGCATGCACTGAAGGACTAAAATGGTAAGATAAAATCACTTAATGTGGGGGTTCATGGGGAGAACTATACAAACTCTAGTGAATCGAGCAGTGATTAAAAAAAAATGCTGCAGAAGTCAAACATTGAAGAAAACCCGTCAGTGGTATAAATAGAAAGTTGCTTGTCTAGAAAATACAGGACACACAACAACAAAAAACAGACAGATGTTTTAATGACACAGGGAGGATAATATCAGACAGAGATGAATACTGGGAAGGCATGGAGAAGATGGCGAAAGACAAGAGGGCTTTATCTGCGCACATTGCTAACTGGGGGACAAAATGAAGAAGACTGAATGTCAGTTGGCTGTTATGTAGGACAATGAATACAAAGAAACAATTAATTACTAGACATAAAAAAAAAGATATATAGAATAATGGGAATAAATATAATTAAATGACATTTTTACAAAAATCTGTAAGTCAAGACTGAAATAGAAAATTATAAAAGAAGATCAAAGTTCAACAAATAAAGTAGTTTGCTGACTGTTGACCAATCTGGTGATGACCAAACTTTTTCCTTTCACAAATTATCAGACAAGCTCTCTTGTCTTATTAACTACAGCACCCCCCCCCCCCCCCCCCCCCCAACACATGCATGTGTGCACGCTTGTGACTGTGTGCGCGTGCACACACACACACACTCTCTCACACAGAGAAACATGATGTAAAAGGCAACTAAATGGGAGTTTGGTGAAATCTAATGTGCTGGACTGAAAGGTACACATATAGCAGACTAAATCTAGGTACAAGTAATGATCTCGGCCCATACACACCGTGACTGGATGTTCATTCATGCTTGCTGTCCTTTCACTTGCACAAACCTCTGTTATATGGGTGTCAAGGTGAAGTGTCTTTGAAGCTCTCACTGACACTGATGCCTGCTTTATATTACATGATGACTGCTTTTAACAACCCCAGAAGATCTAGAACTGGCCTAACCCCAACTCCTATCCCACAGCCTCAGCCTACTTCCCATGAGAGACTGCATCCTACGTCCTGTGGTTTCAGAATTCTTAACATTTTGAGGTCGGCCCTCCTTATTGGGCATCAATGCTGACAACTGAAGTAAACTCGTGTCGTACTTGAAGTCCGAGAAGGCTAGAACATAAGCAATGTCGCTGACTGCTCAGAACAATGAGTAAAACACAACCTGTACCTAGCCGCCCACACGATGCACATACCAGAAACACAACCTGACTCACCCGCAACTTAGACTAGCGCATGTGAAAGGTTAGCATGCATGAATATATGGCCAATAACGGTGTGTGTGGACCAGAAAATGTTACTTGAATCTAAATGTAAACTCCAACCTAAAGTGTGTCAACCATCCTTTAAACGGTAAATACAGAAGAAGATCAAAGTCAATGCCATAGTTCTTCACTGCACTGTCAGTATCTTTTGCATGGTAAATCTCCCCCCACCCCGCCCCCATTTCCAAAGTGAGTTTGCTTACATGAGTCATACTACATATATTAATCTAACTATTAATATACACCAGTGACCTGACTGAGTCACTGCTGACCCAGGTTATTTCAAACCACCACCAATTGTAATACTTATAGTTGCATTGCATTTCGCTAATTTGACTTCTATTACACTACTGAATGTAAATTTGCCTAGAAAAACTGCAACAGCCATACAAAAAATGCTGTGGTTGGTTAGCAATGTCCTGTAAAGGACAGGCAACCAACTTTAACTGCTGTATCACACCCTCCTAGAATTGCTACTATCTGTTTGTGCCTGACTACCTCATTTGTACAGAGATTTCATTATATTTCTGTGATTTTATATATTCTTGTCTGTAACTGTGTCACAGTCTGTTTGTGTCATATGCTGATGAAGGCTTTCTAGCCATAATATACAGTAATCGATCAGCAGTGAAATACAGATACATTTTCAGAAGCTACTTGTTTAAAAATGTCATTATTATGTGATATATTCTGCCACAGTTAGATCGAATACCTATGTGTTGTATTCTGGTTACCAAAAGTGTACCGAGGCTAATGGAAATAACTTTCAGCTTCAGTAGTAACTTCAGACACCACATGTACCTTGTATACATATCTTTGTGTGATAATAAATGCAGTATCAAAATGTTTATACAGATTGTTTCTTAAAAACTCCATGCAAGACACTGCTATCATAATGTATTTAAAGACTGAAAATATCCTACACTTAGATATATTTCACTGCTGGGTGATTACTGTGTAAACATTGTTTTGGATAACTCCGTATAAGCTGACCTTATCATTTCTCTAGGATTGTTCCTAATGTCATTCCACTGTTTGCATGGTCTTCCCCTTCTCTGTCTTTATTATATTTTTTTCAGCATGACTCTCTGTGGCATTTGGTACAAGGGCATTCTCACCAGATCACCAAACCATCTCATCTGTTGCTCTTTAGTGAACTGTGTGACTGGTTTCAGTCATAGTCTTCTTCTAATTTTTCTATTTTTACTTGTATCTCTTTTTGTTACTCTGGTAGCTCTTCTAAGACACCTGATCTCCGCTGTTATGATTTTGCACTCATTAAGTGTAACTGGGCATATATAAAGGTAATGACGATGTCTTGAAAGAAATGACTCACGAAGAGAACTGATTGCCTACATCAGAAAGAGACAATCTACATTCTTTAGTCAAGTGATGAGAAGGAGAAAAATGGAGTACATTGTGATAGTAGGAAAGTTGGAAGAGAAGGAGAGGAAGAGGGAGCACGAGAGAAAAGATGCTGGACAGTTTGACATCATGGCAAGGAGAATCATCTGTGTCACAGCTAACTGAAAGTTAATGAGACAGAAGGTTGTGGACAGACATGACTACCAACACCACACAGCATAGACTTTGAGAAGAACTGTAGAAAGTTGAATTATGAATTGACATCACAGCACGCTGGACATTTCCCCTATTGTTCTGTCCTTATCTTCAGCATACTGGAGGGAAAAGTTAAAGGCAAGACAGCAAGAGGTGGGCATCAATACAAGCGGAAGAACAACATCAAGAGATGAATGGGTAGTAGTCTGAAAGAGTGTAAAACCAGGACAAAGGGACAGAGTGTGGTAAAGATCCATTAAAGCCAACCTTCATTGTGCAGACGGCACCTGACTTATAGATTGATTGATCCTCAGCATAAATTTAATATTAACTGTAATAATGCCAACCTGTCCGACACAGTTACCAGGTCCATCCAGTGACGTTAACCCTATACATAAAACAATGCCTGGTGGTGTCAGTTAAGCAAAATGCCTCACCTGCAGCCGGTCAAGGTGTGTCCACTGCTGGCCAGCAACCACTGCCACTGCCTCAGCCTTGGGAATGCTGACATGGAAGTTGACCTTCGGTGGTAGGCGATCCAGCTGAACCTGATCAGCATGTGGGCCCTTATTTGTGGGGATCACACCAGGTTCGTACATAAAGCAACCTTCTTTCCACTGGGCATACTGCTTCGGGAATGGGAACACAGCCTGTTCAGATTAAAATTAAAATAAGTTTTAAATTTTAAAAATATTGAAACAGGTGTACATCAAAATGTGTTTGAATTAAGAGGGGAAAAAACAGGTTATGGACAACACATCTATCAACTGTTAAAAATGTTTGCCATTTCTCAAAGAAAACATATAAGGCATATAGTGTAATCCTTCCTGTGAGAAAGTGCAGCCTACATCCCACAAGACAGTGTAGCATAAGTCCCATGACTGCATGCAGTCTAAAACATATGCTGCATAGTCATGGGACGTAGGCTGTGGCTGTGGGGTTGAGGGGTTGGGGGTTAGGGCCTGTTCTACATGTTTTGGGACCATTAAAAGCGCTCATATCGCGGATGGAATATAGAACAAATTATATTACCGGCCGGTGACAACGAGTGACATACTACGTGTTGGTGGCCGGTCACCCCCCCCCCCCCCCCCCCCCATAGGACAGGCCCTGCTACACAACAAGGCACAAATCAAAAGGAAAATTACTTGTTTTTTCGGCCAGAAAACGTTACTAGAACCCAGGAAAGTACAATTCAGTGTGTCATTTCTTAGTTGGCTAAAATAATGTTTATTTCTTCACAACAATGTTCCCGTCTCTCCTAACTTTCATGGGTCTCTGTGACAAAAAGGTAAGCAATTACTGATTGTAAAGAGTCTAAATATGAGTATGGCTTAAGAATTTGAGTGTATGTGAGACTAAAGACAGTTACCTGTGTGACAGCACGGCAGTTGATGAGATAGTTGAAAACTCCAGGCAACTGCTGGCTGGGATCGGACTGTGGCATGGCGTAGATCTGTAGTTTATAGTAGCCTGGGGTGTGCAGGTTCACAATGAAAGAAATCTGGGAACCTAAGGTGTTGGAGAAAACAAAATCTGGGAACTCCTCCTCACTTTCCACCTGGATCAGATTTGCAGTGACCCGCATTGGGATGGAGGTTTTCATGACGATGGTGACTGTGTTGACATCCAGGTGAATGACCGGGTCAATGTGTGAGACGCAGGACAAGCCAAACTCATCAAATCTCTGCTGCTTGCCCAGGTAGCCATGGGGCAGAGATGGCAGGGGTTCAACCTGTGTGGGATTTAATACTGGTTGTTAGAAATACAGTTTTGATGAATCAGACGGTAATCAATACAGATCAGATTTGTTGAATTTCGTAATCTTCTTCGTCTTCTATATCAGCAGTTCTCAACCTGTGGGTCCTGACCCATTTATGGGTCAAATGACCCTTTCTCAAGGGTCGCCTAAAACCACTGGAAAACATACATTCACTGGTCATGAAGAGGCAACAAAAAAGTGTATGGTTGGGGATTGCCACAACATGAGGTACTGTATTAAAGGGTTGAAGCATTAGGAAGGTTGAAAACCACTGTTTTATATATTACTCTCATATCCTCATCACAATGTAGGTCTTCAATCTTCTCAAACCAAACCCTTTGTAGATTGTTCTTCAATGGTGATAAGTTGCATTTTTATCATCATCATGTGCCATGCCAGTGAGAGTTGGTGCTATCTCACATGATCACCAGAATCATGGATAAGATATGTGTCCTTGTTTCACCCCATCCATTTTGCTAAGCCATCCAGCTATTTGTCTCCTTGCCTTCCCCTTCTTCCCTTTTTCATTAGTCTTGCTGACATTAATTATGCAATTATTTAGTGTGTCAGGACCAATACTTAAAAATTATATTATAACTTGTACATGGGATTCTGCTTTCCATACATACCCACTTTCAACCCCACTTTGCTATTTCTTTATAACTATCCTCCTCAGGTATACAAAACACAGAGTTCCAATGCCATTTTACATTTTATGTTCTTGTGTCTATTCCTTCTCATTACATATCTGAAGCACACTGTATGTCTATGTCTAATTTCTCCGAACAGTTTACAACCTTTACCTCTCTTGAGGAGCACTGCCTGTTTCTATCACTCCATGATTTTCTTTGCATTCTTCTCAAAAATCCCATCTCCACGGCAAGTAAATGTTCTTAAGTTTGTCTGCTTATCGTCTACAATTTTGTAGTTAATCTTTTTCTTCATGTCCACTGGCTAAATACTCAAGTGGAGAGTTCTGGTTTTTCATCCACTTCTGGACTCTGGTCTTGTTTCAGAACGAGTAAGTCTCTATCCCCCCCCCCCCCCCCACCCCAACCAAAATGGGGTCCCAGAACCCACATAGGCATCTGCATTCATTTTTTTCTTTGGGATTTATTTCCGATAAAGTAAATTAATTAAGTACAAACCGGCTTGTTTTTCACTGCGTGGTTTATGCATATGTACGGTCGGGGTCAAACATTTGTGCATATGTACAAACATTTGTGCACCTTATATACCACATGAAGTATACAACCGGCTTGTTTTCTGCCACTGCCACTGAGTGGTTTAATGATACATAACTAGCTAGATACGGTCGGGGTCTCTGTAAGGAAGCAATTACAGTTTGCAGAGAATGTTACAGTGAAGCGTGACTAAAGGATATGGCTGGCCCTCTATACCCATTGGAACTGGAACTCTGCAACAGTTGTTGAAAATGGATCACTTACGGAAATGTCCTAAGCTCTGTGATGCTAGTTCTCAACTCAACTCAAATCAACCAAAGGTACCTGTTAGAGAAATGAGAATTGTTTCATAGGTTTTGGGGTGCTTGTCCAGAATAGATGCTCCTTTGAGCATTCCCGTTTTCTGGAAGTTGGTTGTTTTTTTTTTTTTTTGTTTTTTTTTTTTTTTTTAGCCCTTAACACGTTTTTAACAACAAAACAGCATTATGTGACCCACCTTAACATCTTCCTGGCACACAATCAAGTACTGGGCCACATGGTAGAGAGTACTACCTTCCTTATCAGGGTTGTTAGCGTAGATCTCTAGACCATACTCTCCTCTGCCGGGGCAGCTGACATTGAAATAAGCTGTGTTGCCCACAATTCGATGCAGAACATACCCTTCCAGCTCTGAATCACTAAAATGATTACTCTTTAGCTTGGCCATAAACTGCATATTTGTGGAAATCTTTATCTGAAAATACATTTAATGCATATCAATAATCAACAATTTAAAAAAAAAAAAAAAAAAAACCTTATCAAACTCAAAGCTAAGAAAATATATCCCTTCTTGGAGAGAGAAAAGGGGGGGATGAAAGTATCACCTCAAGTTATAAAAACTTTTGAAGAGCATTAAAACTAAAAAGCGTGGTTGTTGTTACACGCCAACTACACACTCTGTAGTTTTATTCATGATTGCTCAGGCTAGTCTATGTTACAGGGGTGTCACATTTTATTGTCTCCGGTGTTATCATTGGCGATGACGTGTGTTCTATACCACATGATGGCACCGCTTTTAAATACCCCAGAACATCTAGAACTGGCCCCAACCCACCTACCCCACAGCCTTAGCCTTGGTCCCATGAGAGAATGCGGAGCAGGTCCCATGGTTTCAGAATAGTTAAAATTTTCTGCTGCTCCCTACAACACACAATAAAGAAACCTCTTCATGAACACAAGACAATGTGACACTTCTCTAACACAGATTAACCCGTGTCACACTGAGAAAGCATGAATGAAAGCCCAGTTACACTCTATTTGGGCTGGACATCGTAAAAGGTTCTAAAAGTATCACGTAAAACTAAACCAACTCTTGAAGACAATTAAAACTGATAGTTTAAGCTCAAATGATATAAAATCTTTAATAAAAAGTAAAACTGCCAATCTCACCTGCAGCTCAGCTTTGCCCTCTCTTGTGTTGATGGTGGCCGTCTGCTGGTAGGTACTCAGATTGTACCTGTAGAATGAGGACCCAGCTCCCCAGTTTAAGTAAGAACAGGGTGGGTACGGCTCCGGAACAGGTGTTGGAACATACTCTTGCTCAATCTTGTACTCACACACCTGTGCATAGACATTGTCTTTATTCTCAGGAGTGTCCTCTTTGGCATATATGTACAGAATGTACGAACCTTGAACTGGCAGGCGCAGGGTGAATGAGGCAATCCTACCTGAGCTCTCCTGCATGCCGTACCTGTTTAGCTTCACACCATTATATTCTTCATTGCCATCTTCAAACTGAATAGTGAAGTTGAAAGCCACCGCAATTTTATCTGCAGGATAACGCAGACGAATATGTAGTTCTCCTCGGCTATGGATGACTCCGGTGCGATGAGTTACAAACTCCAGACCATACTTAAAGAACTGCGGTTTCATGTGTGGCATTGATTCAAACTCCTGCAGCGTAATAGGACGTTCCAGCAGCTGCCACTGGGGGTCATCAGGAAAGTGGGTGTAGATCAACTGGTGAGGATCTGGCAAAAAGAAGTACCTGGCAACAAATTAAGTATATGATATGACGTTACAATTGATCACAGGGAGTGGGGAGAACAGGATGTTGGCAAGCTAAAAACAGATTAAAATTTTAAATTATAATAGAAATTTAAATGACCTGACAAGAAAAATTCATCATAAGAAATATGTAACAGACTTCAATAATATCTACCACACACAAAAAATAGAGAAGCAGAGACCAAAAATGAGGACACAAACTCAAATTTTAATTATTTTCTAACAAAGCTAAGGGCAGCTACTTCTTCCTTTTCTTTTTCTTCTTCTCTAATTCTGTTCTGCCATAAAGTTTCATCAGGTTTTAGAGGCATCGGGTGCAATCTTTAGTATGTGGTCCATAGATACTGGTATTCATAGCCACATATATTCTATCTATCAACTGAATATGTACAGAATGTAACAGCCTTGAACTGGCAGCTGAAGAGTGAATGAGGCAATCCTGCCTGAGCTCTCCTGCATGCCACAACTGTTTAGCTTCACACAATTATAATCTTCATACTCTCTCGTTCTGTTCTGCCGTTAGGTTTCATCAGGTTTTGAAGAGGCATTAGGTGCAGTCTTTAGTATGTGCTACACAGATGCTGGTATTCATGACCTCAATCAATTATATATCAACTGCTTGTGTGCTCGACATTACATTAAAACACATCAACAAAAATGAGTAACAAATTCTCTGGAAAGCAGACAGAATAAAGGAAGAGAGCAGTGCAGCATAACTCATAATGCCATAACCATTATATGTGTAAACCTAGATCTTTTACATACAAAACAGTGATATATGTCACCAGATCACTTCTGGGCTTTTTCCCCTTTTTTCTCTATCAAAAGAAAACATCTTATCAAGTATAGAAGAGCAGCAAAAAGAATACATACTCATCCAACTGATAGTGAAAGTCCTCATTGGTGGCTTGCTTTCCTATGATACGCCTGGCAGCCCAGTGAGCATCAATGAGGCACCAGGTACCATAAATGTAGACAGCATTCCAAGAGTGCTGGTTGGTTCCCGGGGTGAACTTCTGTCCAGGTCTGTAGTCAGCTCCTTTAGCATAGCCACTAATGATCTGAGAGTGCAAGCCTGCATAGCTGTCAAGATAACAAAGAAATCACAGTCAGTTATAAATCATCTTCTTCCTCAGACATCATGTCCATCTCAGGCATTGGTAATCATCACTCAACGATTCTCTCTGCCATCTGATAATAGATTGTTTGGGAGGACTATTTCCAACACCTCTCCAAGCCTACAGAGTTTCTTTTGACAACCACAGGTGCATGCTTGATTCCTAACAGCCATATTACTGAATCGTAGAATCTTCTTCCCTGTGTGAGTTCTGGTGTCCAATTGTAGAGGGGACAAAGAACAGACCCACTACCCCTAACAAGCATGTCCTAAGAGACAACTAAACAGGGATGTTTCCTTGGAAGTTGTGGGGAAAAAAGGGGGAGGGGATGTAGGTGTGTGTTGATTCTATTCTTGTTTCTCCCAAAAATTAGACCCTGGATTCCACACAGGAATGTGAGAGATATTATTACATCAGTGGGTTTCTGTAACAAAATTTTCCTTAAAATACTGTCCACAACCTGACTGTAAAGAATATAGAAACTGTTAAAAAGATACCTAAAGGAAAATGTTGCAAGACCATTAAAAAAATGCTATAATTATAAAATGAATTATATATGAATGAGATTAAACAGTTGTTCCCAATTACCACTTTTCTAGAAGGAAAGGAGACGAGTTGAGAACTATTTACCCCACTTTAATTATACCATCATTTAGTGTGGGAGAGCCCACTCTTCAAAATATATTATTTCTTGTACATGGGATTCTGCTTTTCATGCAAACCCCCTTCCAATCCCACTTTGCTATTTCCTTATCCCCCACACACTTTTTTTTTTCAGGTAAACATGCTACTTTATGTTTTCCATATTACATTTTCCTCAGGCATGCACACCCATTTTTCTATTTCCTTTCTCACCCTTCCCTCTTAGAAAATATAACTCTTGAGATAAACAACTTACTTGCACAAAGTATCAAAAACCATGGCATATGTGGTTTTGCCAGTTTTAAGACCCATCAGCACCTCTTCTGGACTGCCTTTCTCAACTGTGTCAAAGTTCATTTCCTTCAGGTTCTTTGTTGCCAGCCAACGGAAGATGACTCTAGTTAATGAAAAAAAATTTTCAGCTCTTCAAGTTACCTTCTTTAAATTATTGAAATATAGATTTATGTAAATTATTTCTTACATTGCATTGTACAAAATGTAAGCGACCTTCAGATTCAAAGTGAATATTAGAAACAACAAAAAATGTATAAAGAAAGAAGAAGCGACACTTCAGAATAAGATGTGAACAAAGAAGACACAAATAACTGATTGCTCAGTTTACTGCCTGGTACATTTCACTATATCTAGTCAGATGCATATTAGAGTAACAAATAAATAACAAAAAGCTGGAGCAAATAAGTGAATCAGTTACAACTTTGGTTCAAATTCAACCACTCTCAAAAGCAACTACCTGTTTTACCAGAGCAAGTTCAGGCAGAAACAGATTTGCAAAAGGTAAGTGCAAGAGAGGGAAAAGGAGGACAAGAGACAGGTAGATAAACATTAAACAGAGAAAAAGTTTGCAAAACGATCCAGTTACACATGAAATAGATAATTCTAAAATTAAACTGACAACATCAAAGCAGCTGATTAAACTGTGTTTAGTGCATGCACATGTCTGGGTTTAAACAATTTTTTTTTCCCCCAATGCAGCCATTAAAACTGCTTCCAGGTAGATAAGGAAACATGACATTGAAACAAGAATGTTCAAAATGAAAAGCCTTGTTATCTCACCTAACTTTCTCCAGCTCATTAGTGATGTTCTTGGCAAAGATCAGATCCCACACTAGATCTTTGAAGGTACTGTGCTCGGATTTGGAAACCTGTATCAGAGGGGCAACTTGATTTCTCAAACAGAATCATTTAGGTTCAACAATCTGTTTTATGTGAGAGACTGAGATACAAATAGCAGAGACACAGACTCGCAAAAACGGTGAGACAAAGTAAAGGAGTGAGTGAGCAAGTGTGATTGAGTAAGAGAGTGACAAAAAAGCATCAGGCGTGTAGTCAGTCCATATTTTCACTGTGATGGAACCTGCTAAGGACTACAGGTTTTGCCTACTTTAAGACTGGAACAGGGTCATAGCACTTTCCTACAATGGTGGCAAACAATCCACTTTCTCAGTTCTTGCCCTAGCCACTTAGGAGGCTCATAATTAGTGTACAACTTTCCACCAAGTTGGAACTAAATCATCAAATGTCTCCACTTCTTCAGGTCACACAAAAAACAACTCCCATCTAACAAGGTTCTATAAAAACAGTCAGCATGCAGACTGTGGTCATGTGATGAGGAAAAAGAGCTGTGGAAAATATCGTGACAACAGGAAAGATCACTGGTAGAAGAGGCAGACCAGAGAAATAATGGTGGATGGCTGGAGACAGTGGAATAGAAGAATATCATCAGTGGAGTTGATCCAGGACACCAATGACTGAGATCTGTGGAGATGCATCAATGCATAAGCCAGCTGGCAAGGCACTTGATGATGATGATGATTCTGATGATGATTATGATGATGATGCTGATGATTATTATGATGACAGATGGCAGACTTGTTATAATACTTCTTCTTCTTCTTTAGCTTTTTGAGCCCTTCAGGTTCACTGCTGCGGACACCACCCGCCTCCATTCATCTCTGTGATTGGCCTTCTCTTCCCAGTGTTTCCATGTTTTTGTAGGTCTGCTTGGAAATTATCACTTCACCATCATGGTTTGTCTCATTGTCTAAGACCAATTAACTTCCTTGTTTTTTGCATTTCTGTAATCTACTATCCTCTCTATATACCCAGTCATTTAAGTTTATTAGCCCTCATGATGACAGAGATCAGTGGTGATTTGAACAGATTATGAATTTGACTGTTGCTTCTCCTTATCCATTTGCATCTTTATTCTCTCTCTCTCTCTCTCTCTCTCTTCTCTCTCTCTCTTCTCTCTCTTTCTCTCTCCCTCCCTCTCTCTCACTCCCTCCCTCCCTCTCTCTCTCCCTCTCTCTCCCTCCCTCTCTCCCTCTCCCTCTCTCTGCGTGTGCCTGTATATATGAATGCCTGCGTATGCTTCTGTGTGTGTGTCTGTGGTTGAGTGTATGTGTCTGCGTGAGCGTCAGCGCGTGTGTATGTGTCTGCGATTGTATGTGTGTGTTTGTGTGTCACCGAGTGTGTCTGTGTGTGTTTGTGCATATGTGTCTGTGTGTGTCTGTATGCCGGTTTATATGTGTGATTGTGTGTCGCATGTGTGTGTCTGTGTATCTGCATGTGAGATTGGGTATGTGCGCGTATGTCTGTTTGTATGTGTGTGGAATGTGAGTGTCTGTGTGGGTATGTATGTGGGTGAATGGGGTGTGTTAATGTGTGTGTGAAGGTATGTGGGTGTGTTGAAGTGAGTGGGTGGGTGTGTGTGCATGCATTTTACCACCCATGCTTTTATGCTTTTTTCCCACTACTTTTTTTTATATTCATAATATGCATATTATCATATGAATATAACATGCTTATTGATAAAATACAGATGCAGTGTGAAAGACGGGTGTTTGGAAGGACCGAATGTAAGACGGGCCTGCGTGCCCAATTTGTGACCCTTTGAAAATAAAGTTTTTTCGTTCGTTCGTTCTATCTATCTGCCTGCCTGCCTGTCTGTCTATCTATCCCCCCCCCCCCCCCCGCCTCCCTCCAACCTCTATTTTTGTTCAAATATGTATTGCCTAAATTCTTACCTGAATGGCATGTTCATCAACTGACTGCAACACATGTCTGTCAATAGCCTCAAGAGTAGGCTTCTGCTGGGATCCAGCAGGGGCTGGGATTGGGGCAGCTTCTCTAGCTGACTTGGGCTGCAGCTGAAAGTTGGAGGGAGCTGCCTGACCCTCTTGCCCCACTGACCGTTTCTCCACCTAAACAAACAAAAAATTGTCAAAATCCCTGATTATACAGAAAACATCTGCAGTGCAACTTGCATGAAGATTTGAGAAAAGACAAGCCATCTTAAGATTTGAGAATTGTTGTTGTTTTAACTGCTGTTTCTTGCTTGAGCAAATGTTAACTGAGCAGTTAGTAAGAAAAGTGTTTTGCATGAAGCATGGGAAATTGGGGCAGCCGTGAGCCAAGGTGTAAAAGACAAGGTTATTTTAAATGTCGGCCCCAGACCAGGCATTTGTGAAGTCGGCAGAAGATCATTATTACACAGCAGATCCTCTGAAGAATGCTGCTCTAGACTGATCAGAGGAATCAGTCTCTGATTCTCAGTTGAGACTGCAAAAGGTTTAAAATGGTCACATGAGGTGATGAGCAGTTACCAGCATTAGCTTGCTGACATTTCAGAGACTCACATGGATACACTGTCCAAGGCATGCAGGAGTGTGGCAAAATGAATGATGGGATTCTCTGGCTACAAAAGTGACAGCAGCAGGAACACTCCTACTTGACAAGGGAGACATTCTAAAGACCATTTATAAATTAATACTAATGGAAGATACAAAGGTATATGCATCATCATCATTTTGGAAGGCCAAAAACATGGAGAAGGAAGCTGGAGAATGAAGTTAGCTGAGGGCCTATGCTCTATTTGGGGCTAGAAAGGCAGAAGAAGAAGAAGATGGCAAGAAAGGATGTATGACAGGATGAGCATGATATGTGTAGAATCAGTGTGCTACTGAAACACTCAGCATCTACACTTTAAGACATTTGTTGTCGTAGATGGAGTATCTATGGGTGTGCCCTGTATGCTGTGATGTTGATTCATAAATCAGTAGATCAATACAGTACTGATATCTGAGGGTGATTTGCTGTTAAAATTCTTTCCATTTTTATTAGTTGACGGGAAGGTCAGTGTGCCTAAAAACTATCAATAACGAATATGCAAAATAAATGTCAACTGACTGGTTGAACCTGAATGTATTCTTAGTGCAATCTGAACAATTTCACTCATAAAATTACCATGGGAAAACTATGTGGTTTTGTTCTTACAGTTTGAATAATGATATTTTAGTAGAGGCTATGCATGTTGATGTTCTAACCAATGTCTCTTGTTTGAATAAATTTTACCTGAGCAGTTAGTGAGGATTTTAATTTTACTTAAAAAGTGAAGATTAAGTAAGTTTAAGTATAAACAATAAAGTGATTAACAACACAAGCGAGCATTCTGCTTCTGGACTTTTGTAAGCACAACTATGAGCTGAAGCCTTGTTAGTTGTGTGAGAGATCAAGCCACTCCATTTGTATTAACTTACTCATTTAAAAAATATCATAGCATATAGGGCACACCCATAGATGATCTGTCTCCTACAGTAAAAGTCTTTAGGTACAGATGATGAATGTTCCAGTATCACCTTGTTGTACATATGCTTCTTCTTCTTCTTCCTTTTCTTCTTTTTCTTCTTCTTTATTCACCGGCTGTGAATTCCGGCGGAAGGTCCCGTAGTTCATCCACTTGGACTTTGGCTTTTTCCTGGACCTGAGTTTTGCATGTATATCCGTTTTACTGGCTTATTTGTTGCCATTCCCTGCTTCATCGGCAGATGTACTCCGACTTCGAGGGATGTACATATGCATTACTCTTCCTCTTTCTTACCAGATCCACACTTAATTCCAAATTCACACAATGTTGTTTCATGTTGCAGAAGTCTCGTTCCCATTGCTAAGCTCAGAAACTAGTGAGGTCAGCATGGCCGGTACTGCAACACAACTACAAAGAGACATATTAGGATGTAACAAAGCTTGAGCACACCTACAAACACTAAGGAAAACAGACAACCAAGAAGCAGTTACCTGCAAAGGTGTAGTGGTGACCGGGATCTGAACATATTCTGCTTGCTGGGGCTTCTGTCCAGTGGTCTGTCCAACACCAGGAGCATATGAGGTGACGCCACCCTGACTTTGAGGAAATGGATAGTTCCCCTGGCCGGTTTGCTGTCTGCTATCAGGCACTGTGCCATACAAGTACTGCTGCTGAAGCAGCTCAGGTGGGGGAGCAGGGAACTCACCATCTCCGTAACCATCTTGAGTCACACTGGCATTGTTCAGCTGTGGAAAGTTTCTTCAATTGTAATTTTGTTGTGTAAAATAAATGTTGCTACCACATTAATACCTAAATAATAACATCGAAGCAAGTCTTTTTGAGGAAACAGCCATCTGACTTGCATTTTTTAAGTTGTGTGTTTGATTTCAGACTGTCATTTGATTTGTGACTAAAAGAGTTTCTGAGATCCCTGGAGGTTTAATCATGGCAACTACAGCACCTTCGCTTAATGAAATTCTCAGTGGGTGACCAGACGCTCTGCAAAAGAGACCGGCGCATGTCTGGGAAAAATCTAATGCAAACAAATTTGATCCACTTATCTCTAAACTCTTTCTTTTTTTTTTCAAATGAAAGGTAATCTGTAACTGATTTGCGTGAAAAGGATTTCAAATGCCAATTGAGGCATTAGGATGATTATAAAATCGATGTCCAACATTAAGCCATTACTATGGAATACATAGTGTTAGAAGTGTGAAGTGAAAGCCTTCACATATACTATGGATAGAAATATAAGGTGAGGAAGCCAGCTTCCTTTCTGTGTTAATAGCACAAGCATACCCTAAATGAAACTACAATTTTCTTTCCATCTTATTCTCCCTTTTCATGTTTTCAGACAGGAAAGCTTTATGAATAAATTTTATTTAGGAAATGGATATCTATTATTTTTGTTTTGTTTTAATCTGATGATGTATTATATGTCCATGCACAGTGTTTCATCAACCAAGACTGCATCATACTAATTAAGGTTAGGGAGATTCATATTTCAGTTACTCATTTTCCCTGATCTGATCATTGCGTAAAACAGACATGATTCCCAGAAAGTCCAAGGAGATCCTGACCTATGACAAAAACCCAGAGCTTTCCGTCGGTTTGACAAAATACAAAGGAAAATGTGGCTGTCAGGAGAAATTACTGCCAGAGATTACACTTATTTAATACAGGAAAAGTGTGAAAGACCCTTGAAAGGGAAGCGACATATTAAAATGTGATTTAGCAGAGAAAAGAATAAATTTTAGTTCTTCTATGGTTCACAGTGGCATATACTTTACTCACTGACCTTGTGGTCATGTGTTAGGATTTCTTTCAAAGTAGGCTTTTTTTTTTTAAACGTAAATTGACTGGATTCTTGTGGTCGATTCAGCCCAACAGATTGCACCAGCAAACCTTCTGGGAAGTAAAGATGGGTTCACATATGACAGGTTGTCATGCAGCAGACCCACGTTCGAATTCTCTGGGTGACTGGGACGTGTTTTTCTGTCACAGGTAAAAAAAAAATCATAACCTGAACAGTCCATGGCAACTGCACCAGCTATGCGGCCCTAAATTCTCATACTCAAAGGACCCTTGCCTACATCACAAAAACTGTTTAAACACAGGCAGTAAAGACAGGAAAGGTTGCATTATGGTATCCACCCTAACCTGTCTGGACTTCAGGTTACATTGTAACTATCAGGGGCCCCAATATAACCTCATGGTTGAAACGGGCGTTTCTGAAATTTATACCTGGAGGGTTCTCATCCAAGTTGTGGCACTCTTTGTCAATGCTTGTTAAACATTCAGTGTGCTGTCCTGACGGGTTTCAAATTTACTCAGTCAGTACAAAATGGCAGTGGCATTCTGACCACATCACCCATTGAATCGAAACATGCTGAACTAGCACAATATACCCAATACTCCTTGACTTTTTTTAAATATAACTTCCATAAGTATCATTTAGTGGACTACACCTGTGCATCTGTTTTTTAAGTTTATTTCATTTTGCTGCTCAAAGGTATTATATAAAGCACTTTGCAAAATTTTTTAACTCTTTACCAAGCAACGCCCCATATGTGAATGAATTTACCCCTTGACCCATCTACAGCATAATGTGCTCTCTTAATTTTACCATCTGGTCAGTATGTACTAAAGAAATTAATCTGGCTTTCCTCATTCCATCACTTTAGTTATCTCTGTGAAACCTTCTTCTTCTTCTCTAGTCCTGTACTGCCCTTCAGCATCAGGTTTTAAAGAGACATCAGGTGAGAGCCTTGGTATGTGCTAAGTAGGTGCTCGTTTTTATTGCCTCGGATATTCCATCTATCCATCACTTGTGTGGCTGACCTCTGTTTTTGAGGACAGGGCTTCTGTGGTGCAGTGTCATAGTTGTCTTGACAGGTATCTAAACCCCTTGTTCTGTAAAACGTTATGGTACTGACAGTGTTTTTTTTTTTAACTACCTCACACACACACACAAATAAACACCAAATATGCACCCACCCCATGCATTTATCTGTGCACACATTTATTTCTGCCTACAACAGATTCTGGTACACTTACTGCTGCAGTGCCAACATTGTAGTTTGCTGGCTTACTAACTGTCTGTTGACCTGGTGCAAAGCTGTGCCTCTCTGGGGACTCTTGGTAGAAAGCCCCCTGCTGCTCATTGACTGATGCATAATGTATGTAGTACTGGCAGATGTGTGTGTAGGTGTCACCATCTTTGGCAGGATCATTTCCATACACCTCAACACCATACTCACCTTTGGCAGGAAGTTCAATTGACACCTGTTAGAATACATTTTTAGCATATGTAATTTCAGTTCCGCAAAATTAAAACCAATAAATTGTAATTTATCAACGAAACATTTGAATTAAAAAATACACAGTGCCCATATAGTTCTTGAACAATTTCAGGTTTGAATAATTTACAATCTATAAATATTACATTCTTCTGTTTACCAAAAACCTAATTACTACTACTTTTTCTCTCAAATAACCATAATTATTTCTCTTACTGACAAAATGGAAATCAAAAGAAACATTGATCAATCAACTAATGGGCAGAGGGAATAGGTCTCTGGGAACCCCTCATACAAATGGGTATTCTTCCATCATCTTGACACTGTATTGTACAAAGCAGTTTCATTTTCGTGCTAGGGCATGCAGGCAAGCAAAGAAATTAGCAAGCTGACAGGCTTGCAAGTAAGGCTACTGTGATAGGCCGATGAGCCATAGACAAGGCTGATTTAATTAATGCTATAAGAGAAGTAAAACCTTTGCGAGAACCACCTGACTAGAATCTGCAACCATGACCAGACTGCAAGAACAGCTAGTTAAACAGTTACTGACTGCTCTGTAGTTCTGTGACAAAGGATGAAAGAATCAGCAGAAGCAACAGCTGGAGGAGGGAAAGAAATCCAGAAACTCAGACTAACCTTCACTACATTTCCATCATCTTGTTCTGTAATGTATTTCTCTAGTTCCTCATCTCTCAATCCGTTCTTTCGCAGTTTGCAGAGTATATAGGCAGGCCTGGTCTTAGCGAACTCCAGGCTGACACGTCCATCGGTGGTAGTCAAAATGCCATCAGCAGGAGAAGCTACAAGCCCTAGCTGGTCCACAGCCACTCCAGGTCCCCAGCTGCTGTCAGAACATGCTGGTAGAGGTGCTGCATCAGAAGATGCTGAATCTGCAACGACCTGTATGGATATTAACATACTATAAGACATGAATATAACCACATGAATACAGATGCTGCTGCACCTGCAACTACCTGCATTAACATTAAAATGCTTCTTGTGTGCTGACTCATTTGAATGTGCAAGTGCCCTAGAGGTCAGAGGCAGTGTGATTTTGGCTTTCTGTGGTGTTCCTGTTGCCGATGGACTCTTTGCTCTCCTGCAGAAATCCAGCAGTCGTTTTCATCTGCGAGAACTCTTATGTGTGTGACTAAAGTATAATCCTACCTTAAATACTTTTGCCAGGTGTGCAATACTATAAAACAGTGCTATGGAAATGTAGTCATATCAATGAAGGTGCTGTTGGTTAAGTTAAAGACCCTGTTTCCATGCACTGCGGCATACTGGGAATATAATGATTGGCTCATGTTTGGCCACAGCACTAAATGGGGAATGTTAAAGGGGAATGTGGTCAGTATCCTGCTGACTGCTTCCAACTTCCCTGCAAGTTTCCTGATAGTTGATTTATTAGCTTTCATTGTCCTAAAGCCTAGTCACATAAAAACATCCTCATCATAAAAAAGACCACAACCCAAAAACCTGGACCATTAGACAAGTGTGATAACCACTGTACTACTGGGGCTCCTAATGATAATGCTGTGAGCAAGTATATTCTAATGCCCAATTTCATTTATTGATAAATGTTGGACTATATTAAAGGCAAGATTGTTCTCTCTTTTCTTTTTTTTTAAACAGCAACTAGCATAAGCTACTGAGAGTGTTAAAACAGTCTGCAGCTAAAACAATCATTATAGATGACTTTCAAGTAATTACATTTTGTAATCAAATCAGAAACAGATGTTTTTCAACCACAAAAATTGGAAATTAAAAACAAAGAAGAAAAATACATGCTTCAAATCTAGCACATACAAAAAGAGTGGATTTTAAAGAAAACTAGAAACATGTCAAACAAGAAGAAAGATGCATTTAGAATGGACGTCTCCTCAAAAAAATAATGTGTTTTACAGAAAACTTCACAACATATGTTTAAATTAAAACAAGAAGAAAAATGTGTTTCAAATCTAACAAACAACTGATTAATTTACAGACACAGCCCTTGATGAAGAAAACTGTTTTTTGCTGAAACTTATTAAACAAACAAAAATAAAACATGTTGTGGTAGATTAAAATACCTGCAGACAATCACGGCGACCTACCTTATACTCTGCCGAAGCAGTGAATATGTTCTTGACTCCCAGCTCTCCAGTCAGGAGTTGAGCAAAGATGGTAAAGTAGTACTGGCCAGCACGAGGAGCCCGAAAGATAAACGTGGTTGTCTGGTTCTGACCCTGGTGCTGGAGAGCATAGTTCTTCAGCTTCTGTCCCTGGAACACTTCCTCTCCTGTGTCAGCAAACGTAATCTTGTACCTGTCAAAAAAAAAAGGAAAGATTTAGCTGCGTATCCCTTACAGCAGTGGCTCTCCACCTTCCTAATGTAGTGACCCTTTAATACAGTTCCTTCATGTTGTAGCGACTCCTAAACAATTATTTTTCCTTCATAACTTCGATAGATATGAGTTTTCCAATGATCTCAGACGACCCCTGTGAAAGGGTCGTTCGACCCAAAAGAGGGTCGCAACCAGCAGGTTGAGAACCACTGCTTTACAGGATGTTACAGAACAAACTTCAGTAATTTTTGCTCTTTGTGGTCTCACTAGGTAATTTTTACAATCAATTGTTTGCCACTGCACCCTAAACGGTTGGCTCTCGATACCACTTTTGAAACCAACTTAGGGTGGTCTGCTGCTAAATTATCTGCAGCTGGGATCCAACCTGGTACCTCAGAGTAATGAGTGCATTCGCAATGCACAGCCACAGACGCCAACTGTCAAAGAAGAGATGTACCATATTTTTCCACGTAGAAAAACCCAGATGTACAAGATGTCTCCTATTATATTTTAGCCCAAATTAAAGAAATCAATATTGTCAACAAATGCCGTATATAAGACGACCAATAATTTTACAATGAAACAATTTGGAAAAACATATCTTACACACTGAAAAATATGGTAAATTACCGTGTGACTGGGAAGCTCTAGTAATGCTGTGGTTAGAACACCTCCATGATGACCCAAGGGTCAAATACCCGCCAGCATAGAAATGGGCACTAGGAAATGTTATGAAAAGTGAAGGTGGCTTGGTGTAAAGATGGCTTAGTGACATTGACTATATCACTCCCCATGGGCTGGTTGGTCTATACAAATATGGTAGCAGCAACATATACCTAATGTACATATACCAAATTCGTCTTGTTTACTTTATTACAACCCATGATCTTCTTTACCATAAATATTGAAGACAACAGCATAAACTATAGTCCCAAACAGTCATCGCATTAATCTAAAGTGTCTTCATTATTATATTTGCTACATTCGTTCTAGATGGTTGTTGCTTTATTTCACTAAACCCCAATAATTACAGTGGTATCTCGGAATTCAAACACCTCAAAGCTAAAAAAAACTTGGAATCCAAACAAAATTGTCAAGTAAATTTCAACTGGCACCCAAACATCGCCTCGAAAACCGAACGCCTGACATGTGCTAATCACGCAACTGGACTGACAACACAAGAGCTCCAGCACCTTCATCAGCAGCAGAAGGATGAAACTGCAGAAGAAATTTCTGCAAGGGAGGAAGAGGAAAGATCTGGAAGAATCAGCTGAAGATAATTGAAGATAATTTGACCTTGTGGTCGAAAAGACAAGAAGTCGTTGAGAGGTGACACCCTATAAGAGCCCTAGATAACAGTGGTGTTAACTTGCTTAATGATAACATTATTGGACATTTTAGAAAATTAAAAAAATGGTCGCTAACACCAAAGCATTGCGTGTGTTAGCTGTCAACAAAATATAGTGACTTCATAGCCTTTACAAGTGGCAAACATGGAAGTTAACTCTCTTTCCAAACAATAATCTCTTTAAATCCCACTTCATCATCCCACTTTTATGCGCTATGTCACTATTTTGATCAAGGTATAGTAAATACCATGTTTTTTAAATATTTTTTTTTTACATATTTATATTTGTATTCAAATGTGACCATCATGTATTTACTATATTTACAGTGTACTGTATTTAGGAAAAAATATTTTAAAATTTGATTTTGTTAGAGCCCAGAACAGATTAATTTATTTTCCATTATTTTCTATGGAAAAAAAATTACCTTGGAACTTGAACAATTTGGAATTTGAATGCTGTCTCGGAACTGATTTTGTTCCAATTCTGAGGTAACTGTACTTTATTTCTAACTACACTGAAAGTTCAGAAATGACCTTGGTTTTCAAGGTGATGCAGCTTAAAACCTTATGAGGAAAACATCTGGAAAGTAAAGGTGGCCAGTGTGATATTGACCACATCACCCATTGAGTGTCGATTCGTCGACAAAAATATGGGTCCAGCATCATATGCCCGGAATGCCAATCACATGAAAAAGGTTTTCTACGCTTTTTCAAACGTACCAAGTAGTTGTTACTATATTCCATTCTGCCCAGAGAATTACTTTATTGCTGTATACCTAAATAATTACTTTATTTCCAGCTATCTACATTAATTATAAATATAACTGTTTTGATCACTAAATACATATTATAAGAATAACAATAAAAGAAACCCTGACAGACAAAAATATTCAAATATAACTGGTTAAAATAAAACAAGTAATGTATATCTGAAGTCCTCCCCCCCCCCCTCCCCCCCCACTCCCAATTAAATATCTCTGCAGTATATGTGAGAAATAGTAATAAACTGGCAGAGCACTTTTAAGATTGCAGGGCTATCAATCAGAAGATCCAGATCTGACTGCTCATTTAAGATGATGGATTTGTTTCAGGCTAGGATTGGGAAAAATCCTAACCTGCACAAAATCCTAACCTGCACAGTTCGTGGTGACTGTTCTAGCCCAGCAGGCCTAAAGCCTCGGGCTCAACCCCCCCCCCCCCCCCCCCCCCCCCCCCCCCCCCCCCCCCCCCCCCCCCCCCCCCCCCCCCCCCCCCCCCACCCCTTTTCCACTGTGGTAATCACAGGCAGCAAAGTTAGGACATTAATCATCTGGAATCTATCTAAACTGACATTCTTAATGAACATATCAATTATGAAATAAACCTCTGACTCTTACGTAAAGTTTGTTGGTTTGCAGAATCCTAAAGTGAGGGCTAAGCGTCCTTTCTTTGCATCAACCACTCCATTGTGGTGAGAAATGAAAAACATGCCACATTTGAAAAAATATGATTTCACCAAAGGTAGATTCTCAAAGTCCTGCAAGGTAATTGGTGTATGCAACAACTGCCATTCTTTCTTGTGAGCCCAATGGCTGTAGATGAGTTGTTCAGGATCAGTGAGGAAGTAGAAGTCATCATATTCATAGACCTGAAAGTACACAAAAAATGTCTCCCATTATAAATATTATGTTGTTCCTAACTCTTTGAGTCCCAAGGAATACATCATACTTTAGAGGTTCTGCCTAGAGGCCCAATGAACGCAGGATGCACCAATTTTATGTCTCATTTTACTACCCCTTGGGCCTGTGATGCTAAACCCTCTGCGACTCAAAGAGTTAATGTAATTACCTGATGCTGTGAAGGGTGGCTCTTGCCCCTGGCTTTTCTTAGAAGTGATTAAAAGAAGATCACTTTTACTGCCCACAGATAACCTGCATAAGAGCTGCAGACTCCTCCCATAAATTATACACAAAGAATTTCAATAGCATCTTCTCTCCGGGTCTTCCTCTGCCTCTCTTGTCCTCCAACTTTACTGTGTCACCAATGTACTCCAGTTTTCCATTTTGTTTTTTAAAAAAAAAAAAAATACAATTTCAGACCCAGCATGAGTACTACAAATTAAGTAGAAGTAAAGGTGGCTGATTTCATATCAATCACATCACCAGACAAGAGAAGATTTTTCTATAACTTCTTCTTCCACTCGTTCACCCTCTGTAAACTCAGGAGGAAAGTTCTAGTTGTTAGTCCTGTTCCAAAACTTGAGCTTTGCATGCACATTCATTTTACAGATCAGGCTCATCTGTAAGCAGACTGCTGGTTCCTTGCCTCTCAGGCAGATGAACTGCAACTTAAAATGAAAAGCCCCTATTTAGTTGACTTTTTTGACAAGCTTGTTAGGAGGGCAATGGGTTAATTCATCCCCTCCCCACACTGGGGCCCCAATGAACACACATAAGGAATTGTATTTTCAAATATAGGGCTAGCACCAATACATTTTAAGGTGTGGAAACAGGTGTTTTAGATTTCTAATCACACAAGTTTGCTCAGTTGCCCTGCATGAGAAAAACCCTTAGTTTTTAACTTTTAAAGAAATATGCATGAAGAACCAACAGGTGGAAGGATATTTTCTAGGTACTGAATTAGTTAAGAATATTAAACATTTGTTTGTAATCAGTGTAACATAGTTGATCAGTTGCACAAGTAAAAGGTGACCTAAACATACTGGTAACTCTGACAACCAAGCTTGTCACTGTAATGTAAACATCATCAACTCACCAGGTTTTCTGGCATATTCTTCTCTGAGACGAGGTACCTGGTAGCCCAGTGAGAGTCCACAAGATACCAGTTGTTATCTATTAGGACTGCATTCCAGCTATGGTTGTAATCATTGCCCTTGAACTTGTCACCTGGGCGATAGTCCAAGCCTTTAGCATAGCCTGTCAGCACAACTGCATGAACTCCTGCAAACCTGAAATCAAGTATTGTTGCACAGATGAAAAACACTTCATATAAAACTGAAAAACACTGATGTAAAGGTGAATACACAAAATTGCAGTCCAGCATTCGCTGTTGTCATTTCATGTGGACGGATGTCTTTGATATCATTTGATTTTCTCCATAACTCAGAGCAATAACAGTCTAACAAACATTATGTCCTACTGGTCTGGTGAATCTTTAGTAGGATCAAGATATATTTTTTAATACAAACAATGATGTTAAGACCACACATACTAAAACTCATCCAATACTCTAAATAATTTAGCAAACAATTCTCACTCTGCCATTGGTAACCACACTAATCATTTAAATTTATGTAAAGCTTGGAAGGGAAGGAAGGGGGGGGGGGGGGGGGGGTTAATTCTAAGGCTTTAGAAAAGAAAAGCCTCTAATATAAGTGGATGAGGGAATTGTTCAAGGCAAGGTATGCCTGTCAGTCTACCAGTATATGTTTGATACAGATTCAATCATGTCAATGATCTTTTACCTTTAACCACTGTAGAACATCTGTATCAGAAATTATTGACAGTACTTAAGACACAAATCTGTGGACAAATATCATGACCAACAATATGCTACATGCTATTTTTTCCTCTCCAAGCTGCTACCTAAAAGTCTGACATCCTGAGGTCACAGAACTTCTATGTGGGTGGCAGACAAACAGTGCAAATCTCAAATACCCTGTTCAACCTCTGAAGAAGTTATAACTGGGTCCCAGTAACATTTACACTAGACAGGTGTAACCTGCAGTCCTGTGCAGATAAGACATTTATAAATCAATGTTCATTACAGGCGCAGTAAAGATACAAATCCATAAACAGTTTAGTAAAACTCCCAAATGACTAGTTCATGTGGCCATCACCAAAGATAATACATGACAGCAAACACCAACATGGGGAATTTAAATCATGGGCTGTTAAATCGTCAACTGACTGCTGTTTTTGCTTTCCAGTTTCAAAGTTAACATATACTACTACGTCATCCTGCCTTAAATACAATATAAAAACATTTCAATTTTCAATTATAATTAGCTGAAAACAATCAACATTACTAGATGAATTACCGACAAAGGGTTTCAAAAATACGAGCATATGTTCCCTGCTTGTTCTTGAAAGACAGCAGCACTTCTTCAGGACTGTTTGGTTTGGCTCCATCTCGAAAATTGATTGTGTACATGTTCTTTGAAGTCATCCATCGAAAAATCACCCTATGAACAAAGTAATACAATGGAAGCCTGCAGCAGAATCCAAATTGTTATTTTGTATCATTAAAGATGAAGTGAATCAAATGTTAAACAATGCCCTAAGAATGAGAGCAATACATACTTGAATACATATACTTTAAAATACATGAATACAGTCCAGTCAACTCAAGTTGAATTCTGATAAGAGCTTAGTCCCAGACAGGTAGATTAAAAACCTTCACTTGTCACGCGTCGATTGGGCCGCTCGGTTTAGAAAATTAGCATGTGATGCGATCGCTGGGACTCAAAGAGTTAAACATGAAAATGTACAAAGTATTTGTTTTTAGATTCAACTAATCCAAATATTCGAGTCAATTAAATTTGACTTAACAGGATTTTTTTTAATACAAAGATAAAATCTGAAAATGGCCGGGACTAAGCTGTGTGCTATCTGGATGAGTATAAGTCCTGATAAGTGGAACAATTTTCTTAGGTCCCTGTGACTTCTACTTATCCAGACTTGACTACAGCTAGGCTGCAATATCTCTCTCGCCTTTCCACCCAACACATCCAATTACAGCAAACCCCTAGTTAACTCTTTACCGACGTTTAGCCAGTATACTGGCGATTAAGTCTATCCCTTAAAGACCTAAAGCCAGTTTACTGGCTCATGATAGAGACACTCTAATTTTGTTTCGTTTGTAGGGTAAACGAACTTTTAAGAACAAGTTTTTTAACAATTAGGATTAACAACAGGATGTACTTTCATTTGCAATCTTCATCGTGGTCGGTGCATTATTTTGTGATTTAAAAAAAAATTATTTAGATTGAATAAAAATGTTTACGTCATTTTTCTATACTAAATGATAAGGGAAAAGGTCTAGAACTGTTCATACAGCTCTATCGTTGATGAATTCCTGCCAGATGGTGACAACAGTCTTGATATTATGATTGATATCTATGTGACAAATCTACTAGCGATAATGTAGTTTAGGATATGAAAATTTCACAAAATATTTCAATTAGATCAATGTTTCGATCAGCTGTTTTTCCGATTTTCGGTTGTTGTGAAAACTGACATGTCATACAAAAATTATTATAATATCCAAAGTATTTAAATTAATTGTTTCAAATAAAGACTAGCTAATACATAATTGAACAGAGAAGGCAGGTGTATTCTTAGAATTGGATAGCAGTGTTGTTGAACCAGTAAAAAATAAGGTTAGCACACAATTTTTTATTTTTAAAATTGTCATGTGTGTCTAACATCCTTGAATGTTGTATGATTTTAATAATATCTTGATGTTGTACTGACATTTAAGTAGTTTAGATTTATTCTGCACTCATTTATCTTTAATTTGATATATTATAAGTCCCGATACAGCCCATACTTTTCCTTCAGGAAGGTTTTAGCTTTGTCGTGTTGCAGTAAACAAATTTCGCTTAAAATTAATGCTGTCCAAACCCCAGAAAGAATGCCGTCCTAAAAAAGTTAATCCCCTTTTACTTGATGTGAGGTGAAGTGGGAGACAGTGTTTTTAATCCCCCACCCCCTCCTATCCTCTCCCCAACTAGAGCCCTAGAACCCATATGACGAGTGCAGGAATGGAACCCACGTCTGTCTCTGTGTGAGGCAAATTGCTAAACTACTGAAAAAAATTATACGCACCATACAGAAAAAAAAGCGTGTAGCTTTTATCAGCAGAAATATGTACGCCCTGATTAATGTTACTGGAAAGACGGACTCAACTCACCTGCACTTGTCCAGGTCAGCCTGCAGGTTCTGGCTGTACACCAGGTGATAAATTAGGTCAACAAAATTGTCATGGTCAGTCTGAGCAACCTGTAAAGCAAGTTCAAACTTCAACTAACTGGGACATAGATATTATTGGTTCCCCCCGCCCCTTGTGTGACAAACGTACATTTAAATAACAAAGTACTGCACACAAATATTGCCTTCTAATGTATATCATTATGTTCATTACTACAGATTGTACTGCTATAATGTCTGTGTCCCCATAATATTATGTTAGTGATTTCATAAAGTACATATTTTCGCTGTCTCTTCAAACGCCTTGCCCGCTGATCTGGGTGATCATGTTACTCAGCATCTTGCCATCTCCAACAGTGTGTATCAGTTCATGTGTTGACAATATTTAATGCCAAGTAAAAATCTATCAAAAGTCCCTATCACTTTAATGCTCTATCTCTCTTTACATAAATATTTCCTGCTGACACAATAGGTTCCAGTTTTTCCTTATTCAGTAACACAATCCATCCTTGAGAAGATATTTATTTGCAGAAATAATGTCAATAAAAATTATTTATAATTTTATTTGTTCAAAACCCACAAAGAAAAGACGCTGAAAATGTTCCCTAAAGAAACGATGCTGATAAAGTTATTAGTGGAAGTACTGAAGGGATCGTCGCCAGAGATGTGGAGGCCATGCTTTGTGCAATGCTTTTGCCAGGCTGTTAGCTGTTCTGTGGAGAGAGACCAAGCCATATGAGATCAAACCCAGAGCAATGAAGTTGATCCTCTCACATTTACCTTAACCTCAATATTACATGACCATGAGTACTTTAAACTATTTCAGCCACAAGCAACGTTTCATTTGTGAATCCAGTCATACAGCTGGTCAGAGCATTATACTTAAATCAGGCTTTCGCAGTGACCACTTTTAATGTATATATACATCCATGATTATTCACACAGTTGCCTATTTGGACACTTGCTTGTCAAACTTTCTGGGACTCAAAGAGTTAAAATATTTATTAAAAAAACATGTGCCATTAGTCAACAGGATTGACATGACAGTAGACATTTCTAGATACAGACTGAAAAAGAGCCTTATTTGACTTAAGTGTAAAATCATTGTTTCTATCCACTCTGAATTTATTTTAAAAAATAGGTCATCATCATTAGCATTTCCAGGTATAAATTACTCCCTGTTAGCTATCCTAGCATGTACAATAACAAAGAAATAAACAGCACTTGCCTGAACGGCATGGTTATCGATGAAATAGAACTGTTGCACGTTGCGGTACAGATCAAACTTTCTATATCTGGCATGGACAGGGGGAGCATTGATTTGTCTGCTCTTGGAATCCTCAGGTGCAAAGTTTGGTGGAGCCTTGATCTGCATCTTGGCTTCTCGCTTGTTGTCTGATTTGTCTGCAATAGATAAAACTTATTTTATATTTATTTTTGTGTGTTATTAAACAATAGGTTTTCTTACTTACATATACTTTACATGACTTCACAAATGACCCCACCATCTGCTGGTAGTTTATGATTTTACTAGGCAATTTTATATTCAGCAATTTATCATTGCTTTCTGAATGGTATGATAGACAGTGGGTTCTGTAACCTTTACAGCAGGAGTTCTCAACCTCTTTGGGGGTTAAACTACCCTTTCACAGGGGTCACCTAAGACATATTCACTGAAATTATGAAGTAGTAATGAAAAACATCTATGGTTGGTGGTCACCACAACATGAGGACCTGTATTAAAGGGTGTCGGCATTAGGAAGGTTGAGAACCACTGCTTTACAGGATGCTGCAGAATCAATTTTGTTTTTATAGAAAAATGATGTGAAAACCCTGGACAACAAAAAAGAGTAATGAAAATGTCTTGACATAAAGTAACTCAGGAAAATAACTAAGTGCCCTAGACTATGAAAATCTACATTATTTGGTCGAGTCATGAGAAGGAGAAAAACTTGATTACATCTGGATGATGGTGGGAAAGTTAGAGAGGATAAGATGCAGAAGGAGACAGAGAAAGAAGACGCTGGACAGTCTGACATCATGGTATGAGATCTGTATCAAAACTGACCGAAAGTACATGAGACAGAAGGCTGTGAATAGACATGACTACTAGCACAGCATGGACAGTAAAGAAATGTCACTTTGCTTATGTCAAAATCAATGCAAAGTGATCACTGTCAAATCGCCCATTGCTAAAATGAAGTATATTTTGGAATTATGAAGCGCATGTCAAACCTTGTCGGAAACCGTCAATTTTTTTTTTTTTTTTTAGCTTATCAATGAATATGTCATGTAAACTATCAAAACGTGTCAATTCACTCTTGCTTTTTCAATCAAATGCAAAAGTATACTGACAAAAACAGGCTCTTCTTATGCATCTGACTATTATTACAAACTTAAAATGTGATTGTGAAGAATTTTTATTAATCGAGCATTAAGAATGCTAATAGTAAAGGTATAAGTATATGACAGTCCCAATAATAAGCACAATGTATGGGAATGGTAACTAGCTTTTGATTTTTATCTCCTCTAGTGTGTCCTTCTATGTATCTACTTCTTTCTATGAATGCTAATCAATACATGTATATTTTATATATATCTCTCTCTCTCTCTCTCTGTGTGTGTGTGTGTGTGTGTGTGTGTGTGTGTGTGTGTGTGTGTGTGTGTGTGTGTATGTGTGTATGTGTGTGTGTATGTGTGTGTGTGGTGGTGTGTGTGTGTGTGGGGTGTGTGTGTGTGTGTGTGTGTGTGTGTGTGTGTGTGTGTGTGTGTGTGTGTGTGTCATTGTGTGTGTGTGTGTGCAGTGTGGTGTGTGTGTGTGTGTGTGTGTGTGTGTGTGTGTGTGTGTGTGTGTGTGTGTGTGTGTGTGTGTGTGTGGTGTGTGTGTGTGTGTGTGTGGTGTGTGTGTGTGTGTGTGTGTGTGTGTGTGTGTGTGTGTGTGTGTGTGTGTGTGTGTGGTGTGTGTGTGTGTGTGTTGTGTGTGTGTGTGGTGTGTGGTGTGTGTGTGTGTGTGTGTGTGGTGTGTGTGTGGGGGGGGGTGGGTGGGTGGGTGTGTGTGTGTGTGTGGTGTGTGTGGGTGTGTGTAGGTGTGGTGTGTGTGGGTGGGTGTGTGGGGGTGTGTGGGGGGGTGTGTGTGTGTGTGTGTGTGTGTGTGTGTGCATGCGTGCGTGTGTGTGTGCATGCAATAACAATGAGTGAGAACTTGTCATCAGCTGGCACATATCCATGACATGCCTGCATTATTCCACACCATCGATCCACGCTATAAACTTCAAGCGCATAGATGGCAATTATTTTTTCTTTCATTCCATGCACAATGTCTGGGCTCTATTATTCTAATTGGTTTTAAATCTCCAATCTATTCTCCTCTTTCATGCTTCTATTTCTGATGCATTCAGTGTTAAGTTGATTTCTTTGTACGTTGCATCGCATGTTGAAAGATTTCTTGTCTATATTTTAAAACTGTATTTGTATTATTTTAGTTAAATATATCCATTTTATGCTAATCTCATTGTGAACATGATGTCATTGTGAACAAAGTTGAATATTATGTTTATTTGACATATTAATGAACTATATATACTAATGAAGCTTATTAAATATGCAACAACTTATGTAACAGCAGGTGATTATGAACATTGGCACATAGTCACATAATGATTAAGGGACAAGGAAATTCAATATCAGGAAGAAGAATGTAAAACAGAAGAGGAAAAGAAAATACGTGGAAGGGAAAATAACCGTATTTTCAATAAAAGTATGAAATGGAAGAGGAAGAGAAATGATCATAGGGAAATGGACAGAATAAAATAAATTAACATGAGGCAGCCGACAGTTGTAAAGAGAGAGGGAAATGCATAATCGTGTCTTTTAAATGCAAATATTTGGAGGAAATCGTAACATCAAATGGAAGATGTGGACAGAGATTAGAAGCAGAATAGGCCCAACAAAAGATATGTGTCAGAAGACGAAGGGTATCTTTAATAAATAAATTTCACTAAATATAACACACACAAAAAGGAGAGCACAAAAATGTTATGCTTTACCTTTCTAATGTACAGTAGTGAACTGTAAAATATAAACGAAACAAGTAGGAAGAGCACAGAGGGACAAGAGATGTGATTTCTGAAATGAATGCTGCGATTTCCTTGGATGGCCAAACTTACTATGAAAAGATGATTAGGAAAAGCTAATGAAAGTAGAAAATTATGTGTAACTATATAACAGAGATAAACAGTATTCTCTGGTCATGTTTTGAGATTACAGGTATAGGAAACGCTGTGACAAACTGAAAGGTCAGAAGCAGAAGAGGCAGAGGCAAACTAAAATAAATCATGTGAGGCTGTCTATGGTGGTGGCAAAGAGGAATATCATCTACAGAATTCATAACATCAAGGGCTAAAAATTGTGGACAGCCATGAATGCCCATGACCTCTTACAAGACACATGAAGCTGGTTAGCTTTAAGTGACAAAATTCAAACAAAGAGTAATGATTAGACTAAAAGCAATGATAGCATGTACTGCAAATGCCTTATGTATTTTAAGAGAACGAACATCTGAGGCTTGGCAAAGACAAAAGTTGTAGTATCTTCACACAAAAATTGGAGTAATGATAACTTGCACACAGCAATAAACAAATAAATGCCAAGTGTGGTTTAAAAAAATATATACCAGTTTCACTTCAGAAACAAACACTTCAAGACAGGATAAACGTGTGTTTGTGTGAATGTATGTGTGGTGTGTATCATGTCTGTCTCTGTGTGTCCCTGGTGAGACTAAAGATGTGTACAGCTGTATACTGGACACTTAGATCTGTTAAACAAAACACTTGAAATTCGCCAGCCATGCTTGCATAACTCAAACCACAACAGCGACAGTACAATCCTTTTCAGTGATTTATATTTTGTTAACTCACTAACATTTAACAGTAGGAGTTTCAGTAATGCCTACTTGGTTCCGAAAGAGGTTTTTTTTTTAATGGATCTACGGGTCGACTCAGCCTTAAAGAATGAAATTATCTTGAGAACTATCTGAGTGGGAAAAGCTGCGAGAAAGAGAGAGCGAGAGAGACTCGGTTAAATAGCAAGTATGAGAAACAGCGAGAAGTAGGAAACACCAACACGAACCACACACATGAAGACAGAGAGAGAGGGACAGAAAGAGAGGGACATAAAGAGAGTGACAGAAAGAGAGGGACAGAAAGAGAGGGACAGAAAGAGAGGGACAGAAAAACAGCCAGAGAGAGAGAGAGAGAGAGAGAGAGAGAGAGAGAGAGAGAGAGAGAGGGAGGGAGGAGAGAGCGAGAGACCCGGTTTAATAGCAAACGTCAAGAACTGCAAGAGGTAAGAACACACTAGCACGCTAATTGATCCACACATATAAAAAGAGAGAGAGAGAGAGAGAGAGAGAGAGAGAGAGTGAGAGAGGGGTTGATTCAGAGAGAGAGAGCTAGTTTAATAGCAAATGTCAGGAACGGCACGAGGTAAGAAACATACCAACACGCTAACTGATCCACGCACATGAGAGAGAGAGAGAGAGAGAGAGAGAGAGAGAGAGAGAGAGAGAGAGAGAGAGAGATCCAGTTTAACAGCAAACGTCAGGAACAGCAAGAGGGAAGAAACACTTTAGCACGCTAACTGGGCCATACTTATGGAGGGAAAGAGAGGGAAAGAGAGAGAGACCCAATTTAAAAGCAAATGTCAGGAACAGCTAGAGGTAAGAAACACTAGCACGCTAACTGATCCACACACGTAAACAGAGACAAAAAGTGGAAAGGGGGGGGGGGAGACCCGGTTAAATAGCAAATATCATAGACAGCCTGAGGTAAGTTTCACACTAACAAGCTAACTAATTATTATACACGGAAGGGGAGGGAGAGGGAGGGGGGGGGAGAGAACGAGATCCGGGAACCCTCGTCAGGAGAGGACAGTAAGAGGTAAGAAACACACTCGAGCCAGAAGCATTGTGAGTGACATGATATGATCACAGACCTAAACACACACACAATCACACACGAAACCTCCTCCGCCCAACCTATATATGTACACAAAGAGCACTGAAAAACCACGCGCACCTCTTTGTTCATAAACTTGGCACGAATGAGCACCGAGCGAGTCTGGCAAAGGAGACCTAGTGGCGAAACCTCAGACGAAGGAACTGCTGAAGCTGCAAGGAATTTGAAGGCAGGAAAAAATTCCTTTTACCTGACAAATCACACTGGCACCTCTAAACCTACCTGTGAGTGTGAATCTTCACCGGCACAGAATTCTCCAGATAACAAGGGTACTAGACTGCTGCAGGGGCAACCTAGCCTCCTGTTTATGTCAAACGCTGCAATCACTTACTTGTCAACACTATCCTGATTTGAAAATAAA